GGAGCTAAAACCCTCAGCCAGAGTCAAATTATTCAGTGGTCTTCAGAACAAAAGTTTCAGGCTGTGCCAATACTTGCCTTCCTGTGCACATGGGCACATCGTAGTTCTAGTGAGCAGAGATTCTTTTGGATCAGTTGTCTTCTGAAATTGTAAGCCAGATCTTTATACCAGTCCAAGTAATTTCTGTTGCATTTCTGTAATAAAAGACTCATAGGGCTCTGGGGAAAACAGAAAACTGTGTGGGTGCCTTGGCAGACAGTGGTTTAAAAATATCTGTGGTCTATGTGGTTTTGTTGGACAAAATGTAGGATTTTCCATCCTGTGGTTTAAATTTCCAAGTGCTGGAGCTTGTAGAATTTGTTTTTCTGAAACGTTCCTTGTGTCTAAAAGCAAGTCCTTACTTACATTTAGTCAGAGCTGGCAGGAGTTGGCTCTGAGAAGGGATAATGGATACTTTGGAATTGTTTAGGGGCCCCAGTTCAGTTGTAAGATATGAGATATAACATATATAAGAGATATAATATATATATATATGTAAGACATATAATATAGTATATATATATGTAAGAGATATAATATATAATGTGTATATATAATATATAATAAAATAATATATATAATATATATGTAAGATATATATATATATAAAAGTACAAACGTTTTAAATGTACAGCGCTCAGTTTTTTCTCAAACAGACAGTGATTAAGGGTGATATCTTTCAAATACTGTTATCCTCATGTACCTGCTCAGTGATACGTGAGAAGGAGAGTTAAAGGTGTGTTGAGAGTTCTTAGTACCTTCGTTATGTGTTGAATCCCACTGGCAGAGCTCCTTGACAAAACCTAAGGGAACTTTTGAGCTGCAGGTTTGTTCAGACTGCTGAGAGAGGTTTCATTCATGACTGTGAGAAGTTCCATGGAGCATAATGCATATGTTAAAGTGCCACTTGACTACCAACAAAGCACATCCCTGCTTAGTTCAAAAGTGGGAGGAGAGTTAATATTTTAATGGCTAAAATTAAGAATCAAACTGGTGAAGTATGATGAAATAGCAAATCTCATTTTGGAAGTTACAGTGTGCCATATGTTTAGACCTAGCATATATTTGCCTTTTTTTTGCATTGTAATGCTCTTACCTTACACTGCTTTTCAAAAGCGGAAAAACCTCAAGCCCCCATTTACATGGAGATTCCTTTGTTTCACCAGTCAGCAGTGCAGATGGTGCTTTCTTCACAATGGATCTTGTTGCAAAGTCCCTCTTGAGAGTAGAGTTTATGGGCATCTTGGGAAAAATGACCAGAGCATCAGAAATTGTACCATTTTGTTATAACAAAAAATAACCAGGTGAAAGTCCCATTGAAAATGAAGTCAATTAATTCAAATAAATAGTGAATTTCACTGAAGTCTCTGGCTTGATTTTCTGACCTTATTTCTCTTTTTGAGTAAAAGAAGCTCCGTCTGGTTTATTAAGCTGAGTGGCTCATGGAAGGCCTGGATATGCCCCATGTGGCATGAGGGAATGGCCAGATGTTTAGGAGTGGGAGAAGAGAAAGGAACAATAAATTTAAGTTTCGCTTGTGACTGACTTTGAACTTGCATTAATAAAGAGAATGACATGCTCTTGAAGGAAGTTTTTTGTTTAAATTTCTTCTGAAAAAGTTCTCTGGATTAAAAGTATGTGTTTTTAAAGCAAGAAATCCCCCAGAGCCAGATATTGTGAAAACATACCTTGCGGATTCGTTAAACTAATCTCAAGGATTGCAGTGGTATTTACTTTCAAGGCATCTTCTTTTAAACTAATTCCTAGCTGATTTACTTTAAGGCGCTGTCAAGAAGGGCATGTTGGAGTTCAGCTGAGTATTTGCTTTCCTGGGTGAGGTGTTTGGGTTGGGAATCATTCATTTTCAGTTCTCCTACATGATCAGTTGTCATCGCTTAGAACATAGCCTGCTTCTGTAGAGTCACAGAGAATACCAAAACGTCTTCACAGTGTGTGACTGTGATTCTTGGTCAAACAAAATATTCTTAATTTCCAGGTGATCTTCTTGATGTTAAGCTTCTTTCAGTCATTGTGTTTCATGTGCTGCCCTTGCAGTGCAAAGCAGCTGCTGGTTGTTTTCTCCCACTAAGCACACAGCCCATCACTTTACCTATTTCTGAGTCAGCTAAATGTCTTAATCTTCTTGATTTCCTTTTTATGTCCCATTTGTACACCTGCCATCTCTGACAGGTTGTTGGGGTTGCGAGTGCTTCTGCATCAACTCACTGGGCTTTGTTTAGGGGCTGAACCTCCATAGCTCAAGTAGAAACCAACATTTCTCAACTTCTTCACCATCTTAGTTTATGTTGAGGAGATTGCAAAATTGCAGCTTCCTCTTACATGCAGAAAGCCTTGCCTCTCTATTTGCCTTTGGGGATTTGTAACAAGTGGTAAAACTCTGACTTTGAGGCTGGCAGCAGCAATCTAATGAGCCCCTTTTCTGAGGTGCTTGAGCTTGGCACAGGCAGTCTTGTCAATACTGGTAGACAGTGGAGGTTTAAAAACAAACAAACAAACAAACAAACAAACAGAAAACCTTGTAGTGCATTTCTGGCTGAGCTCATCAAAGAGGGACCGACATTGGAGTATTTACTGGCTTGGTAATTACTGTTTTTTGGACTTCGCACAAAGAACAGAGCTATGTCTGGCTTCTAAAATGATGATTTGCCATAGCTAAGAGAGAACTACTTAGTTCTTTTACAAATCTTTCATAGTAATGTGCTGCATGTTTGAAGTACCTGGACATTTAACCACTATCAGACATATTAATATTTGATTAATTGAAGACTTTAACAGACAAGTAAAAATAAGATGTGAAAAATAAAAGTTAAAAGAAATGTCACGCTTCTGTGTTTGCTTAGACTTCTGGTATAAAGAGATGAGATGTGAAGATTGTGATAATTACTTTTAAAATAATTGCCACTGTTTATTTACAGTGTTCATTTTATCTGGTCCTGTGCATTTCTTTAAAGGCTAATACTGTAATTACAGCAGCAGTATGAATTATGCGGTTTTTCTTTCAATCCACTTTGCTAAAGCCAAAACTCTTCATGACTTAATTCATGTAAATTGACCTCAGTTCCTTTTTATGTGCCATGTAGATATATATGTATGCTTGTAGGAATATCCTGTAGCTCCTTAGAGCAGATGGGTTTTTATTCTTTGAAAATAGGGTTTTCAATAGATGAACCTACACAGTTCTTTCTAACTGGAGTAGCAGTCATGGTGTGGATTTCTAAGATACCAGTGAGAGATCAGAGAACAAGCTAAGTTATAGAATTATTAAAATATTTCTTTAAAAAATAACCTTTTTTGTGTAAATGGTTTACTATTATGGCTGGTGATATTGAAGGCATTTTGTTCAGAGTTCTTCTGATCCATTGTCTCTGGGACTCAGTCTGATTGCATATCTTATGAATTCCTCAACAGTTCTTCTTATTTATTAATATGTATTATTATTAGCACTAGTATTAAACATGAAGTGATACATTTCTGTTCTTGGTTTGACAAAATAGTGAATTAAGTTATTACACAAAACTGTTTTCTTTTGGGAGTTGTCCTATCAGTCTGATCTTAACTATTCCTTTCAGTTTAATAAAAATTAACATTTCACTATGGTTATTATTTTGTTTTGCTAATTCCTTACAGGAATTTTTTCACTTCGTAAGATTATCATGGTTTTCTTTTCAGTCGATTAAATTCATACTCCTTCAGTAATGGCTATCATACATGTAGGCTTTGTATTTTAAAAGCATGGAAGTTGGCACTCAAATCTCTTTCATTTTTAATTAATTGGAGCAGTTTGACTTGTGTTTCACTTATACAAATTCTTCAAAGGCTAAGCTATTTAGTGACAAATTTGTAGTTGTCCTTATATCAATGTTTTCCCTTGTTATTTATCAGATTAGTGAGCTAAAGTTTGGGTTGTATATAATCACAGTAGTAAGATCCAGTGCCTTCCCCTAATGTGTGAATTTTCTGTTTGGAATTATTTCATAAAATATTTCATACTGTCTGTTGTAGAATAAAGGTTACATTTTGTAAACCATTCCTTCCTGAGTTTTAATAAGATTAAAACAGGATGGATAAGGAATTCAGTACCTTGTGATTGAGCAATGTATTCTTTTATGGATCTTTTTAGTGGTTAGACTGTGACTTATTGGAACAGCCAAATATGAAAATCTGTTATGTGTTATTTTGGCTTGGCAGAAATAATGCAAAGAACTGTCAAAAGCAAAGAATATGCAGAAGCTGTAATTTCCTTTTTACCACTGAAGAATAGATTTGGCCAGAGTATGCCTTTAATGCTAATCTATCTCTGTGTGGCCAAACAGATTTTTGGAACCTTTTTTTAGTATATTTACTTTCTTTTCACTTCAAGCCAAATGTTAAAAAAATGTTGGCTTTTTTTTTTTTTTTTTTTTTTTTTTGAGTCTGTGTAAGGTGGTGATGTTTAAAAAAACAAAACAAAACACACACACACAAAAAAAAAAACAACTCGGATACTTGTTTGTTCCAACTGTATTTTTTGTAACTTTATATCATTTTAAATTTTTATATCATTTAAAATTCTCCAACGGTACCAAAAGAATGCATTACAAAATTCGACCGTTTAGCTGGCTTTGTAAAAAAAAAACTTAATTTCAGGCTTTATTAAACTGATAAAAGCATATTATTCCTTCTACACATCTAACAGAAAGTGATTTCCTCTTTTGTTTATAGTGGAGCCGTGCTATTTAAGCCTTCTTAGCTGATGACTAGAAATACTTCTATCTTAAAGCATTAATTTGATTTATTTAATATAATATCTCCTCCTCCTTTGCCTGAACACATTTGTTTGAACATCTTGAGTACTTCAAAAGGATGGGACAGACTTATTCATGCTGTACATGTCTTTCCATGGCTTTTGGTTTGGAATAAAACAATTAAATCTCTCTTTCTACTGTTTCGATTCCATACAGATGACAGCATCTCAGCTGCAAGCACATCTGATGTCCAAGACCGACTTTCAGCCTTAGAGCTGAGAGTACAACAACAAGAAGATGAAATCACTGTCCTAAAAGCAGCATTGGCTGATGTGTTAAGGCGCCTTGCTATCTCTGAAGACCATGTAGCTTCTGTGAGAAAATCAGCTCCAAGTAAAGGTAAGCTCATGTTCAGTAAATTTTTTGAGTCTGAAAGTTATCATTTAATACGTTTTCCATTGGTAACTTTTTCTTTCCCCTTTTTGTTTGGACAAGCAGGTATATTTTGTGTGAAACAGTGCTCTTTTTTTGTCAAGGATTATTTAAAAATTTTAAAACACGTTCAACAACAGCAACAAGAAAAGCAAAACAAGAAAAACCCTATTTGCACTAATTTGTCTATATTTGCATGAATATTTTGTGATTATTTTTTTTCCCATGAACATTTCGTTTTCCGTTTTGGATAACTATTTGCATTGTTATTGGAATTTACTCCGACTTTAAACTAGAGAGGGAGAACTGCAGCTATGTATGTTGGTGATATATGTTAGACCTACAACTAAATAAAAGTTTAGTCGTGTTTCAGATAATTTACAGTTCTAGTTCATCATAAATGCATTTATCTCCACGAAATCATGCAGTCCAGAATTTGCTGGACTCTTTCTCTGTATGTCAGCTTTCAAGTTCAGCTATTACGCCAATGCTGGTGTAACGCTGAACTGACACACCATACCCTGTGTTTGTTAAAGTGGCTGTGTTGTACAGGCTGAAAATGCAAAAGCTGAAAATGCTGAAAGTTTGAATTGTTTTAGCTATGGCAGAGAGATCAAATTGCTTAATTAAGTGTTTTTGCAGTCCCTCTGCCAGATGGAAGGAAGTGATGGCGCTTAATTGGCTTGGGTTGTGAATCCTGCCATTCTCTCTTACTCGCTAAATGGTAGACTGTTGTCATCACTGCTTATAAATGCAGCTTTATCTGTATGATACGCATCTCCGATCTCATCAAGATTGAGACATCCTTGTCTAACTCTTTAAATTAAGCTGAAGCAAGTATTTCAGCTAAATCAGTCTTTGCTGTCTGCTATCTATTAGGACAAAAAGAAAATGTCTGGGAAACCGTGAGCAAAAGGAATGCAACACAGAACCTTCTTCCTTTTTATGTGCAGGGGAACTGAGATGTGCACAAGTACGGATAAAGACTTTTGTCTTGGAAGTGTATGATATCCAGAAAACGTGATGCACATGCCTTGTTCTGCAGAATGACTTGTAGCTGTCTCCTTCTGGGGATACAGGAGGTCTTGGGGCCATAACAGGTTCTGCAGGTCAATTTCTTTAGTGAGAAATAAATATTTTTTTTTTTTCCTAGAGAGGAAGAGGGAAGATTCTAAATATCTTCAACTTCATGAAGTTTCTAGTAATTAATGACAGCGGCAGTAACTGAGGAAAAAAAAAAAAGTGGATGGGAGGGAAGAAGGGTGAGATGAATGCATAAAAGCTTATACATTGAACATAGTTGAATCATGACTAAATTGACACTGCATTTAAGTTGCCTGTGATGTGAACTCGTCTTCAGTTGCCTAATGTAACCATGCAACGCTTAGCTTCACTGTTTACCATAAAATCAGCTGCGTATTGACGGCATAAAGGTATCACAAAAGAAAAAGACTGTATACAGATGTGGGAGGTGGAGAATGAACTAGATATCAATATTGTTTTGGACTTAAATTTCAGTATTTTATTAAATATTTCAAAATAAAATCACGCATAGCTTTTTGTGATGCTGTGGGTGGTTATTTTGCTTTCTGTATTTTAACTGCATTCAGTTGGTGGGGAACCCTCGAAACATTTTAACAAAGGGAAACGTACTGTATTCCTGAATGAACAGGATTGGCAGAAGATCTGAATTGTCATACAAAAATAATATAAGCATTGATTTTAATTTTTCTTTGAAGTATTTCATGGGTGTTTAACAGGCTTTTACTTGTTAAGTCATGGTTGTTACAAAGGTTATTGTAATTCTCCAAAACACTTTCTGGTGTTCGTGATTCTGTCAAGAGTATAGTTTCTGCATTTCAGCAATTAGTTTCATATCAAATAATACAGTGTGTTGCTTTTTTTCCAATTTCATTAAATTTTCATACTTCACAGAAGTATGTCTCTAAAGCAGTACTTGCTTTATACGTGCTGTCATTATTATTGAGTAACAACAAAAGATGTGCATGTTTTTCTGAATACATTGAGAGATATGTTTAATTTGAAGCGTGGCAAGAAAGTGAGATATATTGTTCTGAAATAAACTGAGAAGTAATGGGACTAGAGAAAAAAAGACATCCTGAATCTTTCCATCAGAGTTTTAATCTGAGTAGCAGACGATATCTAGCCTGCTTTGAAAGAGTATCTCCTACTTGCTGCTGAAATGTTTTCTAAAGCCTCAGTGTTTTTTCTATAACCAGTTCAGCAGTGTCCTTGAAGAGAGATTTTTCATAAGCTAAAAATAAGTGCTGTGAGGAGACCAGTTCATGCTGAAAAGACCAAATACAGATCACTTTTCTTTACAAGGAGAGTGGTTAGGCCCTGGAACGGGCTGCCCAGGAGGTTGTGGATGCCCCGTCCTTGGACGTGTTCAAGGCCAGGTTGGACGGGGTCCTGGGCAACCTGATCTGAATGTGTATGTTTGGTGGCCCTGCTAGGCAGGGGGGTTGGAACTACATGATCCTTGAGGTCCCTTCCAACCCGGGTGATTCTGTGATTCTGTGACTTTTAAACTGATATTTCTCATTCTGAAGTCAGTATACTAACTTGGTGCAAGAAGAGATCTCTTCATCCTTTATGGTTATTATGCCTGCAATGCATATCTGGAAAGCTAATTCTTCTGTTACTTTTTATACCCTTTATTTTACATTGAGTGATTGAGTCAACCACAGCAGAGGCTAGAATTTCTTGCATTATCCTTGTAGTCTTTGTTTTTCCTTTTTTTTACATAGTTTTTGTTGCATACTTATTTTGAATGTAGTCCAGTCTTCAGTGAAAAATTTGACGGAGGCAAGGGTAGATTTCTATTTATGCTGCATGGTCTATCATTTAGCTGGTTACTGCCCACAATTTAGGCTGTCCATCCGCAACTCAGAAGCAAGCTGCTGTTCATGTGATGCTAGGTGATCTGCAAACTGCTTGAGATAAGGCAGAGAGTTTTTACGCCATTTTAGTGTCTCCTAGTCAAGCATGAAGTGCAGGCACTAGATAAGGGAAGTACCTAGTTGCAGCAGAATTAGCATGTGTTCTGCTATTGCACAGTGGACAGCACACAGTGTTGGTGTGGCTTGTCTTCCTCTTTAGTTTTTCTCAATATAAAATCATTCCAAACAGAAAATCTTTTCAAAATGAAAAGGCTATGATAATACATTTGCATCTCTGCAAATAGCTACAAATTTCTACAGACTAGCAAAATAGCCACGTCTGAAGATAGTGTTGAAGGTTCTTAGAAATATGGAAGGTGCTGGTTAGGGAATAAGTCCTTAGCAGCTACAGGGTTTGGGGGAGGGAGATTGTGTTGTATGGGTGAGTTTGGGTTTGTAGTCTTTTTTTTTCTTTCTTTCCTTTTTTTTTTTTTTTTTTTTTTTTTAATTTAATAAAAGACTGAGCAAAGAGTTTTTCTTTGTAAGTTCTTTGTTTTTAGCAGCTCTGTGCTCTCATTGCCACATCTATCTGATGTTGATGTATGATTGGTGCTGTTAAAATTCTCAAAACAAAGCTTACCTGGACATTGAAGAAAAGGAAAATGTAAGGCAGCCTGGTGCCTGTGGCTGCCAGCAATATAGGTTGTCTCACAGATGGTGTCTGGTAAACCTATTAAAACCTTTGAGGATGTCACAATGTATGTAACAGAAGAATTCATCCCTCAAAGTCTTGGTGTGTCTCACAATGGCACCAGTAAAATTGTTCAGGCTCATCATGTTGCTGGGGTAGGAGCTGTTGCCTGAAAGAGTGGCTGACAATGAGAAAGTACACCCTCATCTCTGCCCATAGAGTTCATGTACTTTCTCTAGACTTGGAAGTAAGGAGGAGGCTTGTCACAGACTAGCCCCCTGGAGGAACATTTCCACTTTATGAACGAGAACTGATGTAAAATAGTCAAATAACTTGCAAGCAAATTTAAGTCACAAAGTAAAATTGAAGCGATGGTAGCATTTTGAAGAGAGGTTCTCCCATGACAGTGAGGAGTAGAAACCAAGAGGCATTTATTTTATTTATGGTAGAGGTCTTGGGGATCTGCATTAGCAACTGCAATTGGAAATGCAATTTTTTTAAATTTATTCAATGAGTTTTTCTAGTAGGAACCTGAGAGTTTTCTGTGCTTTTCTGCAATCTTCTCTGGTGCAAAATGTCTATTCAACATCTCCACAATGAGAAAAATTCTGAAGTACTATCTTGTGTCATATTCCATCTCAGTTCTCTAATATAAGCAAAATGTTTCAGTTATGTTTTCTACCTCCTATCAACAATGGTTTCACTTTCATAACGTGCCATCATTTTAATTTATATTTAAAAAATGGCTTCCAGTGTTCAGTAAGTTTAGCTAGTGAAAGCATAAGATAGGCTTTGATTAGTGGTTTTAGTTTTAAAACATTGTAATTGCATAGTTGTTCTTTTAACATGGTACGTGTTTATATTATCTAATTATTAAATGCTAGCAGTACTGAAAATGAAAATGCAGATTGGAAAATGTTCATCGTAAAGACAGATTATAGGCACTTATCCATGGCATTAATACTTACCTGGCATGCTTGTACGTGTGTCTTTTACTCTTGGGAATAGTCCAACTAAAGTATGCTCACATAACCAGTAATGACACTCCTGAGGTCTTAATGGGTTTCCCAGGTACTGGTTTTAGTGCCATCTCTTCTTTCTGGAATTCATTTTTTTTTCTACTCTACTTCCCCATTTTTTCCTGTCTTCTGCTTTTCTTCTGCCTTCTTTAATCTCTTGCTTCTGCTGTACTTTTCTTGATGTTCTTCATCTATTCAAAGTAGTTGAATCTAGAGCGTGTTAATTAACTCAAGATCATTGAGCAGCTAAACTAAGTTGAAGGAAAGAGAAGTGAAGAGGAAAGTAGATTTTCTTTTATTTAACTTCTGCAGCATACTAATCCTGTTCAGTGGATTGTTTTTCAGTTGTGGTGA